AATAAAGCTGTTTGCTGTTTTCAAATTGCCAATTCATAAACAAATATATATCTAAATAATTATATGCAGGTGGGCAATGTGTACATATCCTTTAGTAAGACATTTGACAGTCACAGTATTCTCTTGACCATATATTCATTGAAGAGATTTAACAGTAGCTCCTAATTTTATCTAATCAGCCAGGGGGTCTGTATTTTTCATCAAAACTTAATATAAAAATATATTCAGTATCCAAGAACATTCCTTATCAAGTATACATTCATCATGTGACTTATCTCAATGAATGTGGTTATCTACAAAAAAGGGCGTTTGTCAAAATTTTATAATAGTAGAACAAGAATTGCTTGTTTAGCTTAAACATTATTTTTTTGCTATTTACAAGCCGCTGCTCGCAAAAATATAGGTTGATACAAGTTTTACAAGTCATGTTAACGATTAGAAGTTAATAAAATATTTATTAGTTACAGATATAAGAATAAACCAATTTTTATGGCACCGCTAGTGCCTCTTACCTTCATTTTAGCATATCAAGCAGACCTTGCCTATGGTAATAAATTGCATCGGATATTAGGTCCTACATTAACTAACCCATATATGATTCTTTTTAACAGTTGTGTTTTTAGTTGAAGCAGAACATATTTTACAATTTGAAAACGATGTACTCCAGCTACCATTAGGAGTCCCTACAGCATCAGCACTTGATCAGAAAAGATTGGAAAACGATGAAAATAAAAAATTACATCCTATTGTAAAATCATAAAATGTATTTTAATGTTTGTCTTTTTGACAATAATCATAATAGCGCAATTAAAAAATTTAAAGTTCAATAAGAAAAAGTGTGATAAAATAAAAATGTTCTAGTCTATCACAGCATCTAGGTATACATAATTTTTTCAACACGTTTGAAAGTTGAACTGGCCTGAAAGGTAAAAATTGATAAAAATAGATAAATTTTCAACATTTTCCTTGAAGTATCTTTAAAAGGTATTTTTATGGCTTAAGGTAAACAAATAATTATAAAATAACCTGTAAATTTGTCCCATTCGTTAACGATAAAGATATATTCTTCTTGCAATATTGTATGTATAATAATTACAGCTCCAAAACATATTTAAAATATATATATTATATAAACACAATTGACCAATTTTTCTTAAAAAAAAACGAGTTGCAGATTTCGTTGGAAACATAAATAGATCAGTAGATACTGTAGTTCTAGAATTGAGTTACAATCTTCATATGTATTATGTTTCAATAAATATGTACCAAGAAATACATATGGTATTTTTTCTCCTTTCCCCTTTATGGAATTTTACTTAGAAACTTACCATTATTAACTTACTATGTACGAAGTAGGCAGTACTTAGATTTAATCCACGTCGTTGTCCTATTCCAAAATAAAATAACAAAGTGGATTGGCAAAACATCTTTATTAACTAAAAATCAATTTAGAAATAGGTAAAAAAATAAAAAACATCTAACATTACAGATATATACAGGGTTTCATAGGTAAATCCATTTGAACATTTAACATTGATATAATCTGGATTACATGAACCCTATATGTTATGCAACAATACAACTATTTTCATCACATTTATGTTTATATATATATAGGTCCTATATAGACAGTTGTGAGATAGAAAAATAAATTAACAGTGATTCTCAACATTGAACAAATATGAAGAAATATACCTTTACCATTGCTTAACAAAATACTTTTTCTTCTACACGTAGCTAACAGACTAATCTATATAAGCAAGTACAAATATATTGTATCAATTCTCTTCTATTTAAAATCCAAATCCTGTGCCATTTGGACTAATCTTCATTTTATTAATCATCAGATATTGCTTTTTATTTTCCTATTATTATTAAAATACTGACAATAAAATATAGCAACACATAAATTGAGATATCCCTGAATAGGAACGGAACTGTTAATTTATTTATTTGAGACACAAACAAGTCAAACCCAGAACAGTGCCCATTAAAAATATACAAAAGAAAATTAATCAAAAAATGATAAAAACATAACTGTTACAAATTTGCGATGTAAAGTAGGTATCTACAACAAACAAAATAAGAAAACAGTTATAAGACATTTTAAAATTGAAAGAATAGGAATATAAAAGTAAGTTTTAAGTGTATCTTTATTTAACCTTAATAAAATTTTGGAAAAAAAATGTCAATGTCAACAGTGTGTAACAATTTGTGTTAGTAGCTTTAACAAAGGACGATTTTGAATAATTTGTAGATGCCTGATTTACGAAGAAACTATAATTTTTTAAATTATAATTAGGATTCGAGTAACAATTTTAATGAGATGCATTATTTCAACACAATTAATTGTTATTTAAAATCTTATGGATAAACATATCTGCTATTTGCCTACTTTTTGAAATAAAACGGACACTTTTTCTGATATATGAAGTCAAAATTTTCTTTGACAATAAATTTATTTAGAATGGATTCTAATTTGTCAATATACATGACAACACTGTTGACATAGACCATGTACAATATTCTGACAGCTTAGGGATTGGTGACTGGTCAAGTGGGGAAACCAACCTTGGCATTAGAACTTTTAATTAGAAAAATCCCGCTCTCGATTCGTTTCGAACCCAGGACCTCTCAAATTCAAAGGTTCGGGCTCTAATCACAGAGCCACCCACCCCCAAAAAAATGTAAATTACATTCTTATCTGGACTGTCACTTTTTAACAATAATTACTATATCATAATGCAATAATTTATGATATCTCTTTAAATATATGTATATAAACTTATCTAATTGTATGGCAGGTACACAACAAACACGCCCACACACAACCTTGGATTTTTTGCTTATTTTTTCTACCGTAACTACGAGTAAATAACTGATTTTGAAATATTTTAAAAGTTCCTTTTAACAAATAATTCATATTCCAAAATGTTAATACTGATCGGTAATGAATACTGTTATCTTGGCTTTAATGAAAACCTCTTTTTTATTTATCAATTTACATTAATGTTATTAATTTCTGTTTAAACTTGTGTTTATGTTTTCTTGTTTGTTATTAATTGCATAATGGTCGAATGAATATTCGGACATAAGAGGGGGGAGGGGGGTAAAGTTGTTAAACTTTTTTATATTTGATTTTGTGAATGGAGAACCTTTTAAGAATATTGTGTGAAAATTTGAGATGAATCGGAGCAAAACTAACGAAGATACAGCAGTTTGAGTAACCGCGCCTCATACATGACTCGGAGCATCAGAAAATCTGCCCGGCCCGAGCGCGCTATGGTTACCAGGCAGCTGTTTCGCTCTCTATATAATCTATAACCTTACTTCCTACCTTTCCTTATAGAAATTTCAACACAAGTACAAACGTGTTTATACATGTACTGTATATAATTTAGTGTAGCATTGGCCTGGTAGGTTCTTTTGCTTTACTAACCTCCATGCAAGTCATGGGAATCAGTAGTGGATCAACCACTTATGAATGAGGATTCGTCGTAGACAGAAGCAAAAAGATGCTCTAGACATCATGGATGATAGCAACATCCTTTATGGACCTGGCATCGATGATTCAGTGTGAGATATGCCGATAAAACTCCCTTATGAACGTTTTATTCCAACTTTTTTAGTGTTCAAAACTTTAAAGCGTTTTTCCCACAACTCACGTTTCCAAAGTTGGTGCCCCTTATAACTTCAAAACTACTGGCACCTATCCTTTTGAAATTTTGAACACTATTTCTGTACATAATTTACGAGGTAACGCTGGAGAGTTTTTTCAAATTTGTTAATATTTTTTTATTTTATAATAACAATTAACCTATTTTTTTCACAAGAATCGCGTTTTTTACTTCAGTGTTCTCAAAAAGTGAAAAATTGAAATTTAAAAAACCCTCCAGCGTTAACTGGGGAAAACACTTTTCTAACGAAAGAACTGATTTTTTTATTTCTGATGATCCAGCACCGAGTTAGGAGGGGCACCGCATTTCTACTTTTTTCCGAGACGCTTCCGAATAATTGCTGCCATTTCCGTACTTTTTAATATTTCTACATGAAAATTTGACACAATATTATTTGAATGTTATACTTTAATATACCATTAGTTTAAATAAACAGATTTTAACTGTCGTCAAAAAAAATTCACAAAAATGTGCCTTTTTTGCACGAATTAACCTTACCCCCCTTAATACTGTGAGTTTCTAAGACTTCTTTAGTTACATTATTTAAATGGTCCATAAATATTGGGAGTATGGAAACTTTAGATTATTTCAAACTAGTTACAAACACAGGTACACCAATGCACCATAAATATCACATTTAGTACTCAAGGTACGTTTCAGTAATTATGTCAGAAACATCATGAGGCGATTGTAGACTAAATTTACCCTAACCAAATATACTTAATAAATTAAATCAAATCGATGTATTTCAGCATTTTTGATTTAATAGTATTTATAAACCAAATCTGATGATTATCAAATAAAAATTACTCAAAATATGCAGGCTAATATTTGTTGCTTTTTTTTCGTTGCATGACATTCAGTTAATTTGACTAAAATATTTCTTAATATATATTAAGAATTTCAAACTCTTTTTGAAGAATGGGCAGTCCCACTGGTTTCAACCAGATCATCTTAGAAATTATTTTGTAGGAATGTTAAAATAAAAAAAAAACATACTTTACCCAAGCTCTTAATTCCAATATCCTAAAATTTGTCAATTTTTAATTATTGAAATTCGAAAAAATGTCTTGATCCATTATCTTTTTTAAACAAGACACTGTAGCTAAAGGTATATTTTATACTAAAGAAGAATGTTCAATATTATTATAATTTGCGGAAATAATGTTTACTTTTTATAACATAACAATTTTTAAACATCTATAATTTTTTTTATGTATATTTTCCAAATGCCATCTGAACAAAAATGATATAAATGGCATTTGTGTCAATAAAGATTTAACTAAAAAATATATCACAGAACAGTTAGTCCTAAGGTTACATTTAATTGTCATCTGTCATAATGATAGTTATAGCACTGGTTGCAGAAGGGGATTCATCTGTAAGTGTATATTTGTTAGGGGTGAATCTGACTCCACATGTGCTTAAAGAACGTCTCAACGGTATAGAAGCCCTATTTTGTTCTTTGGGGAACGTTAAGGACTCCAATTCGTGACTGTCGGCATCAACGATTGTAGATGGAGGTGGCAAAGGTCTTTCTTGTACACGTTGGGATCTATTAAATAGACACATTAGACTTGACCAGTTGAACTGTCCGCAATCTTTGATAGGACCGCCGATAGCCAGCATGGAACCCAACATGAATGTAGCATAAACCCAACTAACGCACATTACCACTAACAGGAACGTACCAATTTGTATATATGGAAGGATCATTGATGGTAACATAAATGCTCCTGCAGCACCAGTAGTTATAGCTGCCATAAATGCAGGACCAGCCATATAATCAAGTGCATATTTGGTAGCTGCTTCTCTATTAACTGCAACATCTTCTGGACACATACGGTAATTTACAATGTAGTGTAAACTAAAATCTACAGTAAGACCTATAGAAGATGATATAGCAGTAGCTTCTACAATATTCAGTTTCCACCCTGATAATACTAATACTGCAATAGTAACACATATACTACTTATTATTGTTATAATTGCATACAGACTTGTAAGTACATTCAGTGTAGATAAATATAATACTAACAAAGCCAATCCCATTGATATAGCAACAGCAAATTCAATACTAATATTAAGTTCGCGTTGTAAATCATAAAAAGCTAAATCGCTGATAAACCAGCCGTTTTTCAGCGATTTGGGCGCAGTTTTCAATTCTTCATTCATCCAAGTTTCAACACTATTAAAAAAACTATCCATTTGTTTATATGACATTGTGTAACTATATGTACTGTCATATTCTACTACTACAACTTTTATTGTCGCATTTTGGTCTTTTGAAAATTTTGGGCCAGCCATACCTGGATTCAAAAGATTTGTTGGAGTGTTATATACATCAGCTATTTCATTTTCAATACATTCGTTGAATACAGTTCTATTAAAAGGGAATTTTGAAATTTCGCAACAAGGAGTTCTATCCTGGTCTAGGAAAGCATCATAACATTTTCTATTCATTGAATTCATAAAAGTTTCAACAAAACAGTTTGGCAATAGAGGACCGACCATAGAGTGATAGAAGGGTTGTTGTCGCACTTTCTGGCAAAAGTTTAAGAGCCATTCTTGTGCTTCTGGATCTGCCATATCGAAATCTGGATCCAAAGTCAAAGTACCTAAATTTCTTGGGTCCAAGTGATCGCCATTATCAATTGGAAGGACTCCCCATACAAAACGCAATGGCAGTTTGTAATTTACTTGATCATGCTACAAAAACAAATAATTTTAATTCGTGGCTATAGATTAATATAAAAAAATAACACTACCTTTTCTGGGTGATTGAACCAGAACTGGTCCCTGTATTTAAGATCGTATTGTTCAAATAGATGTGAAGAGTCAAATAGCTGAAAATCTTTAGAATCAGGAAGCTGCATTTTCGGATTTACAAAAACAATAAAACCACTTGCAAGACTTAAACTGGTCATAAGTATGCAACAAAAATATTTGTATCTAATGATGTATGACAGAATAAAGTTTTCTTTCATCTTAAAGAATTTCGTTATATTGAGATACTTGCACCATCCGTCGGATAAGTTCAGCCTTAACTTGATGCAGCACCATCTTTGATATAAAGTCATAGTGCAACTTCTTAAAAATGCTTGGTTTGACATGCAGGAACGTTCCCAAATTACAAGACAGGCCGGGAATACGGTCATCATTAACAGGTAGTTTGCAATTACAGTCATTCCAGTGAAAGTACTAAAAAACAAATCAGCCTTATACCTCACAGTAGATAAGACAAACTCACAATAAAAAGAGAAATCGAACAAAGTAGTTCTTTTGTAAAATATTTATATAAAATGATATTATACCTGAAACAAGCGACTGCTGTTACTGCACTAATGCTTGAACCTAAAAATGCTACTGCAGTGGTCAAAGATGTGATAAACATAGTCATAAATGCATGATGGAATGTATCAGTCATAATTTGTTCCAAAGAACCGTCCTGATTTAGTTTCTGCGTCTCCCAAGTTTTACAGAATATAAAAGCATCATCTGAACCAATACCTGAAATTAAATATTCTGACATCATAGTTGAAAGTTTAAAAAAAATGTTACAGTGACTTACCAATCGCTACGACTGTTGCAAGTAAATTCATGAATGGAAAAAATTTAATTTCAAATATAAGATTGTAAACAAAATAGGATATGCCCAATGAACATATAATTATTAATATTGTCGCCATCGTAAGAAACAGTGATCGTGTGTATATCCAAATGCATATGAAGACAAAACAAACTCCAGATCCCATAAGGTAAGCATCCCTCAGAAGATATGAGTCAAATAATGAACTCTTTATACCAAAATCAATAGCAACTATTTTCAAACCTTCATAATCCAATGTTACTGATGACAGGTGGTAGTAATAGGGAATAATAGCAGTACTGCAGGCTAGTGGCAGGAATATCATAACTTCACTAACCTCGTGAGCGTCAATAGTTTCCTGAAATAATTTTTTATAAAATTTCTTAATACAATATGGTTATAAACGTAATAGCAAAAAAACAAACTATGGTAGATCTAGACACATTAATGGACGTTAGCTGTCTGACCTCAAAAGCGCACAGAAATATCTAGAAAATGGATGAATGGATTTTTCAAAAATTAGCAGCAAATTAACACATGCTATTTTATTCTCTATTTTGGGACTCCAATGGTAAATAGCCCTGTGATTACAGACGTAACCAGTAGACACGGCAAAACATAAACTGCTATTGCAGTAGTGTCCATAGCCAGATATTGAAATTTACTTCTATTCAATTCCATATTGATATAAGATATTTAAAAACATGAGAAAAGTCGTAGTTTGGTCTTAAAATATTAGAGATTTTAACAAATAAATAAGGCAAACAAGTTAAAAACAATAATTATTTACATCATGTTATCATGTATTCATAATTTATTAATATAACAATATTATTAAAATCTAGTTTTTTTCCTATTAAGTGGATATTAAGATATCAAATTTGATAAATAATGCTTACATTAGCAGGTAAAAATGATGTGGGGGTGATAAAATTGAGCACATTATACACAGCATCATGACGTAAGCATTCACAGTTGTAAGGTACATTTGGCAAACATTGTGAATTGAGATCATTAGAATGGAAATATCTGGAGCATTGCATCAGAAGGTTTTTAGTGTTTTCTACATCACCTGCCTACAAATTACAAAAAAAATATATTTAAATATATATACTACAGTAATTAAGAAATAATAAAAAATGTATAATGTTATTTTACCGTGATAGCTAGACAAGAAGTCCTTCTGTTAAAAAAGGCGACGAAATTTGGAAGTGACCAAGGTTTACAACATTTTCTCCATGAATTCTCAATACATAAATCTTCATAAGTTGGAATACCAGTTAATTGATGCTCTAATCGACAGAGTGATAACAGATCAGCTAGATTAAATAAGTCTCTTCTATTGTGTGTGCTAATAACTAAGTGAGCGTACCTTTCATCTGAAAACAGCAATTTTTATTTAGACTTACAATGATCTATATATTATACATAGTCAGTTCTTAATTTAATATAAACTAAATACAATACTAATGTATATTTTTTTACTTATTTTTACCTGGATTTCCACAAAAATAATTTTCTTCAAAAGTTTTTTGATTGTTTGGTTCTAAATGTTGGACATTTTTCCATCTGTTAAGTTCAGCCAAAGCAGCACTAGAGTTTGAGTCTTCAGTAAAAGTTACCTACAGAGAAGATATGCCTTTATGAGATTTCAAGAAGAATCTCAAATATATGTCATTTTTATTGCCCATACATTTAAAAGCTTTTTTATTGCCTAGGTAGTACAGTTGACGAAACATCAAAATTTAATGATGTAATTTAGACTTTGCATCATAGCCGATTGTCGCATTTAAATTTGACAGCACTTAAAAATTGTAAAATAAATTTTCAAAAATGCCGTGGTATTTAACTGAGGCTCAAAAGTCGAGGGCTCTACAGCAAAATTAGAAGTAAATTGGTCTTTAAGTGAAGTGGCTGCTGAATTAATTGTCAGTAAAAGTTGCATGTTTTACGTTAAGACACACTAGCAAGAAGAACAAAGATTGTGAAGATCTTTCAAGCCAGGTGTAGGTCTCTAATAAAAATTAAAGCATGCTCTCGTAGAATATCCCTCAAAATCCTTTTGAAAACCCCTGTGGAAGTACAAGAAGAAACCTTATTCCCAGGATCTCTTAGAACTGGCTTAAAAACCTGTGCTGCTGCATACAAAGTGTTTACCTTTCAACCAGGGTTGGAATAAGTCATGACTTACAAAAAAGTAAAAAAGTCTGACTTTTTGAATTAATTCAAACTTTTAAATTTTATTTATTTAAGAACTAAAACAAAAGCTAGAAACTAAGTTTTTATTTTTCAAAAATCATAATAACATAAAACTTGCAATTTTTGCAAAATAAATTAAAACTATCAATTGGTTAAATATTACATAGGCAAGTTATTAAGAACATTCAAAGGTATTACCTCTTATTGGTTGAAATCACAAAATTTTACTGTTTTGACAGATGAAGAAAAAAAATCATTAGAAAAGTTAATTTTTGGGCTTTTTTTCACTCTTAGTCGGTTGCTTTTGTATTTGTCTCTTCAAAGACATTATCACAACTACTTTTGTGTTTTTGAACCCATCTAACCATGTTTTGTTGCATGCTTTGGACACTGCAATTTTGTTTGGTTTGATATTATTTGTTCTTTTCACAGATTTATCATACATTAATAAATAATTTAACTTATTGAAATAATGGAAGTTTGAAGCAGTAAAAAATATCCAAATGTCACGATAATTCGCTAACTAGTCTAAATCTAAATACATAGTAATGCCATTATTCTAGGTATACCTTCTTTGATTTTGGGCTTTTGGTGATTTTTCTACAGGCAATGCATTGAGTGCTGCAGGGTTGCCAGATGTTTATTGTTACTCAATTCCAATTGAGAGATATTTTAGTTTGAAGTTGATAGTGCAGTTACTAGGGAAAAAAAGTTTGAAATAATGTTTATATTAATTTATTTTTATTACAGGATAATTCTCCAGTTCATAAGGCTCGAATAGTAAGAGATTGGGTCAACAACATAAATCTTTGTCCATGGCCAGCAGAAAGTCCAGACTTGATCTCCATTGAAATGTATGGGGCTTCAGTCAAAAAAATATATCAGACACTTTTAATTTAGTCCATGCCAAGATTGGAAAGTGTTGTGGCACCCACTTCGCTAAAAGACCAATTTTCATCTAATTTTGCAATAGTCTTTGATTTTCTTTTGTAATAAATGGTTTTTGCAGTTTTATATTATGTCCTAATGTTAATTTAATTGTGTTATAGCTACTCTCTTAAAGTAATATATTTTTGTTCTTAATATTTTCCCCTCTTTGTAACACCACTGGCTAAAGCTGGACTTACAAAAACGAATTTAGTAAAAAATAACCAAAGAGCATTCACATTTGGGTTGCGCCGACTGTACAAGTGGTACTAATTAGCCACACTTTCATTATTAATATTTAATATAACATCTTTTGGAATATATACAGGTTAATCAAAAATGTGACTAGTCGATTTAAAAAGTTTAGAGATTTGGATAGATATTAAAAATGTTTGGTTTTATTTGTTAAAAAAAAAGGTAATATTGTGGTGCATTTTACTTAACACATATCAAACCTACATTGTACTTACACTTAAACTTCCATACACAGGATTTCCTTTAGTTTTTTTAGGTGGTTTTTTAATTTTCTTTTGTCTAGGCTTCAAGGTAGCTTTCACTCTTGATACATTGTTGGAAGTTTGATTTTTCATTTTCATAAATTCTCTCATTTCTTTTGGATTTCTAGTAAACTCACCAGAGGTATCTGTAGCTTTAATTAAATTTGTCCATGCTGTTAGACGATTTGCAATTTTTGTACCTCTTGTGGAGAATCCCTAAAAATAAAGTTTTTTGAATAAAGAACATTAAAATTAAATGATATACAGGCAACCCAATTTATGTTTTTGTCAGATTGCTTAAAGATTTCTAAATAACACAGTGCATGTAATGATTATTTAAAAAAATCTGTTGCATCCCCATTTTAAATATAAATTCTTGGGGAGCTAAAAGAGTTAAGTGGGCCTTAAATAAAAATATGTGACTTACCAATTGGGGATCCTTGAAGCTACGCCCGTGGACTTTAATTAGTGAAAGGGGTATAATAATACATGTTCCTGAAAAAACTGCAACAGCTAATAGAACGAAAAATGGGTGATGAACGAGAATGTTTGCAAACCATCTGAAGTTCATTCTTGAAGTGACAAAGTTTTCATTTATAACAATTTAGTGTAATCGGATTTTATGTAGATTTTATTTATGTTTGTGAAAATGTTTCTTTTCAAAGTACATCATGATTCTGAAAAAAAAATACTGTTAAAAAAACTACAGACTTGTTTGTTACAAATCAAAATTAAAAGGTAAGACGAAATACGAAATTAATTAGCATCGGTACGGTGCACACATTTTAAACTAGGTGGAGTAATCCACCCCGAACCTGGATTGCTGGATTCTGGATGCTGTCGTGCTGTCAGCGTCAGCCGGAATAACGATAACGAATAACCAGGACCGGGAGAGAAGAGAGGCTGGGGTGTTTGAATGTATTTTAATAAATACAATTATCTTACCACAAATTGACGGAATTATTGCTTGTAACCCTGCTTGACCATTGTTTATATCTGTGTCTATGATCCACCTGTTCACGTGCTGCTACATTTAATAAATTTAATTTAAATTTAAAATAATTTTAAATATTTTCCTCTGGCCTGTGACGAGAACTTACGACTCATCACGAAATCGCCCATCCGAATTCCGAACCATCCATAACAACAACAGAGAACTCTGAGAAGAGACTGAAGAGAGCACCTGTTTTTGATTAATCGTATGATGAATAATGAAATGGGTAATAAAATATAAAATACCCATATCGATTACCTTTCTCCACTTTTTCCCTTTGAGCTGCAATGTTCAAAGTGACAACAGTGGTTTATTTATGTACGTTCAGGAACAAGATGTTATAGTACTCAAATCGGAGGGAGCAAGGGGAAAAATAAAAAGTCAAATCTTTAAAATTATTGTTGACATTGGACATAGATTCATTACTAGAGAAAGGTCAATCTGTTAACGGTTCCTATCATTGAAAGATTGAAGATTGAACCACAGAACACGATTGAACTACGGCAATTTGGGAAAAATTTTGTTTATATTATTAAAGCGCCATCTCCTAGTAAAATGTTGAACTGATTATAAAAAGAGACATCTATCAGTAAAAATTTTACTTGAAAATGCCATCTCTTAATGAATTGATTAACTCACTGCTCTGTAATAGTAGAGACCACTGACTTTACTGACTCATGCCATCTTTTAACATATAGGTTGACTACATTAAACGACTAATACCGGGTGTTCAAATAAAAGTGTTACAGTTAAATACTTTGTTTTATAAAAGACGTTTCATTCGAAAGTTTTTTATTTTTTTGGGGTAAACATTATAGCTAACCATAATAAGGCCAAATTTTTTTTTCGCGCATAACAATTTTCAAGTAGGTGTTACTCAATAAGTAAAAGTCCAATAAAGAAAAAGTTTTCCCTAAAAGTTTCTTATTTTTTTATGAACTGTAAGAATATGTAAAAAAATGGGGTTCCCATTTAAAATAAAAAAGTCCACCTCCATACGGCCATATTATCTATAAAAAATTAATTTTGCCAAAATGTTTCCTCCAAAAAACAATAAAACTTTTGTCTGAAACTTTTTTTTTTATAAAATGCATATTTTCGGCGGTATTTAACTGTAACATTTTAATTTGAACACCCGGTATATAGATAGAGACGAATAGCATATAGAGCCTTTTAATTTATCTGTCCTGCTCTACATGTGTGTGAATTAACAAAGTAATTTGATCATTATTTACCGAGAAAAACGAAAAAAAAATCTTATATATGTAACCAAATTTGCATCAAAATCGGAGACGAAAAATTATTCATGAAATGAAATCGACGGAAAGTGGACTTTTGAAAAAATGTTGAAATTTCAAAAAAAAAGCCAAGCCAAGTCAAGCCATACATTTAAAATTAAAAACCACACCTCCTCGCCCTTCTGTTATCCTGATACACAGACCCGAGTACCAAAAGTTGCAATATCGTTGATAAAATTTTGGTGTCAGGATAACAGAAGAGCGAGGAGGAATGGGAGTTTATTTCAAATGGGCAAGAAATTCATTTTTTAATTATGGCCAGATGGTGAAAGTTGTGTGTTAATATAAAAGTGTGCACACCCTTTTACGACTTTTACGACGTGAAGTTCGTTGCTATCTCTAAGATATTATTTATTTTTGCTATTTCCTGATACTAATTGTTGAATTATTCTTCAAATGTAGACAAACGTAAAATCGGACAGATAGATTGCCGCTTGTCTCTATCTTGAACCGTTTAAATGAATTACTTTTGTAATTGACAGGCAACACAGAATATACCAATGTGTAATGATGGTTGCCTATAGTTATAAATGCCGTCTATTAAGGAATAGTTAAAACAGTACAGGTTTCTTAATTTTTAAATAGTTTTAACTAATTTTTATAACTAAATTTGGGAAATAAAAGTCGAGAAGTCGATTAAGGAGATGTTTATTCATGAAAAATACATAATTAAAGCAGATAAAAAATAAAAAATTTACATTTAAATAAAATATACAGAATAAAGAATGTAGATATAAAAATAAAACTGATTAATTTAAATTTATTTGCTTATGAAATGTAGTTCCTTCCTTTCTGTACTGCTATATCCATAGATTAGGAAAAGTGAATAGATGGAAAACTCAATGGTAAAATTCTCCATCTATCGAATTGGAGTGGTACTAAATTCAATATGGCCGCAAGGGGCGGGCTTTTGGACATTTAACTTTCTGCTAGTTGGGCAAAAATGCAATGAAAAAAAAAGATTGGAAAAATATTTGACTAGTTTCAAACCATATTGACAGTTTTATGATTTGAAACTAGTCAAATACCTAGGTATTTTGCCAATTTATATTTTTATTTGATTTTACTTCATCATATATTTACATTAATTTCAAACTTGAAATAAAATGCAATTTATTTTTTACAGTAAATTAATGCCGCATCATACAATTTGTCTATTTAAACATGGAAATACTCAGACAAATTATGCATTTACACCATTTAAATACATATTTATAAAACAAACCTATCAAAAATGATTTCTGTAACAAAATCAGCATGTATAGTGCTCAAGACCTTTAAAAGAGTTTTGCGACTTGAAAGTGGCAAATAAGTTTAAAAAAATTGAAGTTGAAGCATCATCCGTTTGGTGTCTTACTATCAAGGCGAATGTGCGTAGAAAAAATTTGACATATGCTTATCGAGTCCAAAAAGTTAGGTCAAGAAGCACTTCTTCATTCGATACTTTTTTTATTATTTGTACGGTACTTGTAGTTTATCAAATTCTTATTAATCCTCTGGGCACTATGATAAATGAACTTAGCTTTCGAGCTTAAATTAAACTTACACACGTTTGAACCCTTGAAGGGGTTCCTGTAGATCTCCCAATCAGGCTTGGGTCCAGCCATTAGTTCTCTTTCTGAATCAGGCTTTTGGTCGAGCCTCCTGTCCATCTTCTGGGAGTCACATGACGGCACTGAAGCTCAGATGGCTTATCGTGCCACTATTTGGATGCCCTTTTTTTTTCTTTCTCCTGGGCTCGTCTGACTATGTGTCTCCGAATAACACTGAAGCCTATTAGTTTATTGTGTTTTACCCCATGTTAATTCATAGCACCCACTCTGTCACCTTTGTACCTTGTATAAGTTTGTACAGGTCCTTGGGTGAGTGGGTTCTATACGTTGTTGGATCAACCTGGGGTTGTCCAAAAAGAGCCTGTCTTTTGCGATCTAGAGCTTCGCATTCGCACAGTATGTTTTTGGCCGTTTCTGATTTCTTGTGACATAGTCGGCACATGAGTTCCCCATTGTACATGCCAATTTTGTTCAAGTGTCCCTTTACTGGGGCGTGCCCAGTCATGAACCCTGTTATCACTTTCAACTGGTTCCTATTCATTAAGAGTAGTTCTCCAGTTCTTTTGGGACATGGTCTGCCTATGAAGGCTTTTCCATGTGCCTGTTTTGGGATGCTTCCCCAATAGTTGATATGTTGTTCCCGAATTCAGTCGTTTATGAAACCCCGGACTGTACTTTTTGGTACTCCTGGGTTTGTGTCTGGTTTTGGTGTTTCTTCTGACCTACTTTTTGCAAGTTCGTCAGCCTTTTCGTTGCCTTCGATCCCTTGGTGACCTGGCATCCAAAATAGTTTCACTCTATTTCGGTCTGCCAGTGTTCTTAGTTCTTCGATGCATTCCCATACCAGCCTCGACGTAACTTTCTGACTCGATATGGCCTTAAGTGCCGCTCAATGAACTGGAGTAGGGGAGAATGCTTGTCAATAGGCTTGAGATGCGACTCTATGGGCAAAGACAGGTTATTTTTCATCCCACTCGGAAGTATTTATAACAACCATTTTCTATTTCACTTTGTTATTGTCTGATCCACCAGCTTGTGGATTGAACAATAACAATGTGAAACAGAAAATGGTTACCATAAATACTCCCGAGTGAGATGAGAAATAAAAATGGCTGCGCCCATAGAGTCGCATCTTGTTTTATGATACAATATGCACATTGGCTTTCTACCCCACTCCAGTTCATTGGTGCCGCTTGGCTGTCTGACATTATTTGAATATGCTGATTTTCGACAGCTCTTTCATTGTTCGTTTTTGCGCGTTGCAAAATTGCGTATACTTCGGCCTGAAATACCGAGGAATGTATTCCTATAACATAGCTATAGTATCAGGGTTTTTGTAGAATACTTCTGCCCCAGTGCCTTCCGCAGTCTTAGACCCGTCTGTATACCAGGTTTGTTCCTGTCGTTGGGCATTGGGCTCCCTTATGGTGATATCCGCTCTTTCCTGTATTAAAACCTCAAATGGGGTATTAAAAGAGTACCTCTTGGTTATGTGGTCTGATCTCATGTCTAGCACGTCTCCTGTCACTAACCTTGAGATACTCATGTGACTTGGCCTAATGTCAAGATTTCCCAGTGTATTCCCTAATCTGTAAGCACCTAATCTTGCCTCCCCTTGTATCACATAGTGAAGAGGTAATAGTCCTATTAGTGCTTCCATTGCAGCAGTGGGGGTTGTTTTCATTGCCCCCGTTATTCCAAGGCAGGCAAGTCTTTGTACCTTCCTTAGCCTCGTTATTGCTTTCCTTTGCTGTGTCTTTGGCCACCACACCAAAGCTGCGTATGTTATTATCGGTCTCACCACCATGTTTTGGATGCCCTACTCTATGGTGTAAGTGGGCCCGAGCTGTGCGAGTTCGGTCACCCACTCAAGCCGTAATCTAGTGATCACTGCTAGGGTCTTGCGACTGATGTTTTGAATACCTTTCGCAGCACCCAGCAACCCGGGCATCGTACATAAAAGGACGATGTTAAAATGAACGATGACCCGGGGTCGTTTTTCTATTTTACAGTATATTTCTGTTATAGAGTTGTTTGTGATGTTGACTATAATTTTTGTCACATTCATTATTTTCCTGAAGTGGACCGTATTGGAGAAATTTGAGGAAAAGTGCAAAATTCGATATTCGTTGGCTATGAATGTATAAAAAATATTTTGAATAAAATGCTTGTGGTATTTTCTAAACACTTTTTAGTTAGATAAATCATAACTCGATCAAACTTTAAGTTATGTCATCAGATTATTTCATTTAAACATCGAAGTTCTGAAAAAAAGAAAACTACATTTCGTTATCACTTTTTATTTAGATAGAACCAATAACATTAATATGATTCACTACTATTTTACATAATAATACAAAGTTTTATATTGCACTTTCAATTCCTACTTAAATAAATTAATAAAATAATAATATTATGTCCAGACCAAAAAAATTATGTTATTTTGTTATTACTATTTTCTGGAGATGGAATAATACTATTGCTATGACTTAAACAAGTCGAACAGTCTACATTTGGTTTTATGTTCATTGCCATTCCCACTGAAGTCCTCAACATAGAAGAAGACTCCTCTGAAAATAAATAGATTAGATTAAAAAAAAGGTTTTTTTAGAAAAATTTAAGCGCTTTATAAAATGATGAGATTGTTCTTTAACGAATTAACAGAAGAATTTTTCGATGTTATCTTTATTTAAGCATAATATGGATATATAATTGAAGCACGTCACTGCACTGTGCGGTGTAGTCTAAGCCCTTGCAGATAAAAAGATAACCTACACATTTGGCAGCTTCAAGGAGAGTTTATAGAGGAAACAGTTTTGCGAATTGCGAAACCGTACCAATTAAATTCAGATTTATTCAGGTAAACTACGCGCTTACGGGATTTGATTACACTTTGGTAATTAACAGATTCGCTTAGAAATGAATACTCCTCTGAAATTAACTTACACCTTTCTCTTTCAGTTAGGTTGTAAATACATAGGTACTTTAGACCTTTGTAGCTTTCGGAAATACATTCTGCTCTGTACAACTTAAGTAAATCCTTAAATTTTTGTTGACAGAATGCCACGTGAATCCCTAGAGGAGCTTTTATACAAGGAAAGGCTGATAAATCCGTACCCTAACTAATAAAACGAGGGCAAAATACTTTTATACCAATTAAAAAATATTTTTTGTATTTGCTATCAAAGTGCGACAAAACAGCGGTTTTCAGTTATTTTGTTTAACCAAAAATCACTTCCCCATAGGCATGGGCGTACGTAGGAATTTGACCAGGGGGTTGATTCTCGACTTGTAGGAACCTTTTCCTATAGGAATTTGTGACACTTTCCTATATGTAGGAAAATGTCATAAATTTTCGATGTATATAAAAATGTCAAAAATTCCTATAGGAAAAAATTCCTATAGGAAAAAATTCCTATAGGAAAAAATTCCTATAGGAAAATATTCCTACGAGTCGAGAATCGACCCCCAGGGAGAGGCAGGCCAACATTATTTAAGTATATTTCAATATATACACACACACTTATTTTTATACAATAGAGAGAAGACTTGAAGAGGAAAACATAAATAATATACATTAAAGAATGGGCCAAACTTCAATTTACCTTGGGCCAATTTACCTTAGTAGAATTTTGCTTGCTTAAGAAGTTACAGGGTGGAGAAAATATGTTTTTTTTTTAATAATTTTACAATAAATCAAATATTTTTTGAGTAAATATACTCAAATTTTGTGAAAGTAATTTTTTTGGGTGATACAAACGAATACTATCTTTTTGTTGTATTATATGTACAGGGCGTTATAAACTGGCGCGCCAATCTAGTATTTACTTCAGATTTTTTTTAAGAATGGACATTTTTGAAAAATGATTAATTATTTTGAAAAAGCGTTCAATTTGCTTTCAAAAAGGTATACTTGTTGCATGTCGCTAAAATGCATCATTTGAAGGAAAACTTAATTTAAAGTTAGTACTGCAAATGTATGGATTACTCCATAATTTTCTCAATTTGATAATGTTAAATCTAGTAGGCAGGCCCGCTTTTATAAACGGTCAGAACTGGGCAGATGTCCAGGGGCGCCGGTGGTCGGGGAGCGCAGGTGATCGGGAAGCGCCGGTGGTCGGGGGGCGCCCGCGCTAGGGAAGAGAAAGAACCGAAAATCACCTTGCCAAAATCACTAAGGAGATAAGATGGTCTGCAAGAGCTGATGCTCTCAAGAGCTTAGTACGGAGCAACAAAGAAATAAAACAAGCCGTTGAAAGCCTGGCTCAGGACGTTTCCCAAAAACCAGATTGGTCAATTAGAAACAAGCATTATTGCCATAGTTTGGAATGATATATTGGAAAGAGTAGATAAGACCAGCAAAAACCCTTAAAAAGAAGATTTGGACCTTCTTTCCGTCAATAAACCCTACAAACTTTTTGATGAGTGCGAAATGAAAGCATTGGCTTTTTGTAATATGGACAGTGTCAATTATCAACGCAACAGAACACGTAAACGATTTGCAGATGAAAATAGGGACTCAGAAGACAAAGCAGTGACAAATTCAAGAAAAACATTTAGAACTAGTGTTTACATCAAAATCATCGACAACATGACTGGTCAACTTAGACATCGCATGGGAAACTACTGTTCTCTCGGTACTAGATTTGAAATTTTCAAAGACCTTCACGACAAAGATCCACATAAGATCAACGTAGAAGCAGAGAGGCTAGCTGAATCGTACCCAAATGATTTTGACATTGATTCTCTTATCAATGAGTGCCTACACTCCCAAGGGTACATGAAACTCGAAAACATTAAATATTTAAAAGAATGTTTTGCTTACATCAGCAATAATGATTTAAAAAGTACTTTCCCAAACCTGGAAATTGCCATGAGAATATTCTTAAGTATTCCCGTGACAAGCTGTTCTGCTGAAATAGGAAATAAGATCTACTATGGGAGAGGGAAAACTGAACAGCATAATGATTTTATATACGTCAAATGACGTGACTTCCAATGTGGGCTTAAACAGTGTTATTGACGAATTTGCTCGAATGAAATACAGGAAAAGTTTTAATAAAACTTACAAAGAACAGAGACATCGTGTAGTTGTAAATAGATGTAAATATTTTTGAATAATAACGACAAACGGTTTTGTGGTGGGTGGGTGTGGTCCGTGATGCTTTAAACACTTGGCATATTGAGGATTTATAGACTTTTACTCTTTGTACAAAAACTACCTCAATGTTACCTCCAGTCCAGTCCAGAACACGGCGGGTCCATAGGTGGTGGATAAGTAACACTGTAACAGTTATATATATATAAGGGAGCTGCTTTTGGGTTTGCCCAGGGCGCCACTGACCCTTAACGCGACCCTCCTAGTAGGTAGTTGTCAAATGTAGTAGCACTGTCAGGATTAGTCTTACATACAAGAATCAGAATTTTGAGTGATAAAATTGTGGTATTTACAAAATGGCTCCCCTGCCCATTATTCCATAACAGTACGAAATCATTTAAATAACGTATTCCCCCATCGATAGATTGGACAAATGAACATCCATGGCCTGCACGTAGTCCAGATTTGAACCTTCTGGATTTTTTTTACTGGGGTTATATTGTTATATTAAGACTCTAGTTTATTCTGGCCCTACTGTTAATACCAAAAATGAATTGTGGCAAAAAATAGTGATAGCGGCTAATGTTATTCGACAAGACCATTCATTTTGAACAAATAATTTGAAAGTAATTTTTTGCTTTTGCTATTGTTCTTAGTTTGAAATTATTAAGTTTTTCAATTTGTTATTTTTAAATATTTTTTATCATACTAAATATTTCATAAATTAATTTGTTATAATTTATGTATTATTTTTAGATCTAACATTATCAAATTGAGAAATTTTGGAGTAATCCATACATTTGCAGTACTAACTTTAAATTAAGTTTTCAAAATAATTAATCATTTTTCAAAAAATATTTTTGATACCATTAAAGCATTATTGAAAATATTCTGTTGTCAAAGTATTTTGTTAAGAAGCACGGTCTTTTTAAAAAAATTGGCAAATTTGTAACTTCAACGCCCTGTATGTATATTTGTATATCAAAAATTAGTTATAGGATTAGATTGTGAGCTTGAAGTCGATAACTGCAAAATATTAGGCATTCCAAATAAATGAAACGCGGTGCAAAGGTTTGGCATGTCTAAAGGGTTGCGACAGACGATGTAGTCTATCTACAATACGTGAAATCATAATTAATGGATTAAATTTAAATATATTATGTCGAACACAATGAAAATATTATTTTTAAAGAAATCGCTTATACATTTTCTAGAAATTGGCAGGCTTGGTGACATATTTCAAATAAAAATAGCGTCCAAGATGGAAGGCTATGTCGCAACTCCTTTAGATTTACGAGCCCTTCCCACTGGCAGCTATTGCGCGGTCCTTTAAAGATGTCACTGGTCACTGAGACCAAGTCTGGAATGTACGTGGATGTGGTCTTAAAAAAAAAGAATTACTTTTTCAAGTGTGTCCCTCCTTTTCTCTACAACCGATCGTTTATTTTCTGGATAATACTAGCGAATCTAGGGCTCTAGGATTCATAAAATATTCCGCCGTAAGGGTAAGGATTTATCAGATTTCCTTAGTAAAAGTAACGGTTTTCAAAAGACAAAAAAATACCGAATGTTGGCAAAATACTTACCTCCAGACTCTATTAGAAAATGGCGATGCAGGTCTTGTCTATAGAGAAAATTTGTCCTGTCTGTTCCGTCGAAAGATAGTCTTGAAAGGTTCCAGATCTTTTGAGAAATGGCGGATATTTCTTCTCTTTTGCCAGCGTCTTCTGGGGAAGTTTGTGGGCTGGTAGAAGGTTCAACAGAGGCAACCTAAAAAACATATATGAATAGTATGAAATTGGTGATGCCTATTGAAAAAAATATTATTTAGATTAACTATTTATGCCCAAATGATTATATCGCTTCCAATATATTAATTTCCTATACTTTTAGTATAGCTGATAATCATACTTGGTACATTTGGATGGTATACCTACAACAATCAACATTTTTTCGACACTGAAGTTATCGTTACCTTAAACCAGTGTCTCGAAGAGCTTTGTAATTATTAATTAACCCTCATTCCTGTTTTGTAACATACATTTTTTAAAAATTCATTTTTTCCAAGCAATTGCGTTATAGCTTGATATTTTACTATATTCATTTCATGTTATGTTATCCTTTTGTACTGCACCTAACTGTAAATTATTGAGCTCTTATATTTTATTAATTCTTAATATAATCTATTGAATACAACTTTTGGTATCGGGATTATCGATTACATTAAGTTAATGTACTCAATAAACCTTGTGTATATACACACCTTTCGCCACCATCCACCCTAGCGGGATATAGGTTGTCAAATGATAATTTTTTACATATTTCGTACATTAGCTTTAAGCGATTATTATCGATAGTCCCGATAATGAGACAATACAAATAGTCCATTGAACGTACATTTTAGATCTATATTTGGTCCTAAACATCCATATACGTATTCGGAAGTCCAATGTACGTCCTTTTATGGATATTAATTTGACAACTGCATAACAATACCCAGAGTGGACGTCCGGTTTTGAACATAAGTTTGGGTTTAGTAGTACATCGACGTTGGTCATTTTAGGTCATTATTTATTTAACTTGCACGAACTTTCTTTCCAAAATATTAATGATTCAATTTTATAAATTTATTATAAAGAAGCTTTTCAAAATACTACCAAATAAGTTGATCGAAAATATTTTTTTTTAGAGTGGGTGGAAAAACGGGCAACTACAGTTTTTAAAAGAGAACGGAGAATGCCGACATTTTGGGATTTCGATTCCACAACACTGGTTTAGTGATACGTAAAGTGGTTTCGTGTTTATGTCATATTTCGTTTCAATTTGTTCTTCATCTTCATTTGCTTCTTGGTTTGGTTGTTATTTATGAGATATCGTCTGGATGAAATAGGGGTCTATTCTGTAAAAATTCCTTTATATTTAACGGCCTTTAAAAATATTTTCTTCTTTAATTCGGTCACTATTTAAACGGATCTTTAAAATACATTAGAGAACTATCTTAAAGAAATCTGTTTAAATAATGATTAGAAGTAAATTAACGAATACGAACATATTTTTATAGGCCGCCAATATTTTTAAAGGCCGTTAAATATAAAGGAATTTTTACAGAATAGACCCCTTAGTCTGAGACATCAAGTGTGATACATCCTGGCAATGTTAGTCGAGAGGATTATAAAAATATAATAATATATAGTCTGTTCCATTTAGAATTAAGAAGTTTGGCGTTACCTCTGGTATAACTGGATATGGCAGTCTATCTAAAATATTTTAGATCGATAGAGAGAACCTTAATTACGCGTACTTAATTTTCACTCGAATATCTCTGTTCGTTTATGAGGTCTAGCCTGGAGGAATTAGTGTGAGACACTCTGTATATGAATATGTTATTTTTAACATAAAATATTCAGAATAATCCTTTTTATTAGTCGATAAATTTGTGTAAAACCAAATTAATAACGCCAAATTATATCATTTAAGTAAGTAAATAAACATGAGATGTATTTTTTTTAAGTGTAGCTCGCTTGATTTTTCTAGTTTTTTTATTATTAACTTTTCGTGGATATAATCTGAATTAATTTTTTAAAAACTCAGAACTGAAGGATAATAAATTTCCTACTTTTTTATGGTTTATCGATCAACTTCATCAGAGTTTAATTATTTATTGTGTACGATTATAAGGATGCAACACGAAAAATTACACAAATTAAAGCTCGAATTTACATTACGTGAAAATAATGACATAGAAATTGTTATCAGTCAAAATCAGAAACTTTAACAACTGTTACCTATTATTACAATATCCACATGGAATTATGCTATGAAACTTGTCAAATATTCAGTATCTGTCACGCTAATCAATTTCATATAATGAAATCACTTGCCACAAAAACTTAATATTATGGCTTTGTCTCTTTTTCGCTTTTGGTTTGTCAATATTATATCCCGACGTAAATAAAAATTGATTGTGTTTGGCTGTGTAATAAAACCACATGAATACTTAACTATTCATTTAGTACAATTTCAGTGGATGATATTCAATGAAAGCTATTTTATATCATTATTACATGCATTTTTAATTCGGTAATAAAAAATGGTTAATACTTCATTATTATGAATTTGTATGGTAATATTACACTCAATGAATAACATTGTGCCAATATATACAGGGAAAAGCTTTTTTTTAGCCATGGACTTTTTTTCAGTTTATACTCTTATTATACTTATTTGACGAATGGAAATTATTGTATTTACATTTGTATATATTTTTGTATCTATCTTCGAATCTATCTTTGTATTTATCTTTGTATCTATTTTTGTAACTAAATTTGTATCTATCTATCTTTGTATCTACCTTAGTTCAGTAAACGCCAAATCTAAAGAATCAAGGACGCGTATTTATAATGCTACGAACACGCCTACCGATGAATAGAATTGGTAGCTTACCTAGAAAGTTGTAAACCGGGGCGCGTATATTGTAAGCCATAAAATAAATGGAAAATAGTGAATTATGCTTGTTCATACATATTGCTTAATGTTATTATTAGTACATAATTCTATAGGTAATTAAAACATCAATATTTTTAGGTAAGCTGACTTTAGCTTAAGGAGCGCTCTGGTGGTCTAGTATTTTGTATTTTAACTGACATTAATTTTTTTATAAACAAAATAAGAAATAATATGTGTATGAAGTAATATATCCTTCCGATTTTTCATACCGGGTCTTCATTTCAAAACTGGATAGTCCAAATAACTTCTGATTTTAGGTAAATTTAGAAAAACAAAAACATGTATCTATCTTTGTATCTCTCTTTGTATCTATATTTGTATCTATCTTTGTAGCTATCTATATTTGTAATTATCTATATTTGTAACTATCTATATTTGTAACTATCTATACTTGTAATTATCTATATTTGTAACTATCTATATTCATAACTATCTATATTTGTAACTATCTATATTTGTAACTATCTGTATTGATATGGAATCCCCTGGGATCCTCTGAATCCCAAAAAGAAAATCTCAAATCTGGAGCAGGTCTGACTAGATCGAAATTTCTAACTATGTAAACGATAGGGTTGCCACCTTTTTGAAAAGTGAAAAAAGGACAATGACCCTGACAGAGGCTCTGGTATACAAAATGCCCTCACATTTCCAGCGAACTTCTTAAAAAAAGGTCGTCGAGCTGAACGAAAGAAATCCTTCTTATCTTGCTAAGCTTCTAAAAAAAAGGTCGTCGGGCCGAACGAAAGAAAATCTTCTTCTTTGTCTTACAGAGTTTCTAAAAAAAAAGGTCGTCGGGCTGAACGACAGAAAATCTTCCTCTTTGTCTTACCGAGTTTCTAAAAAAAAGAAAGGTCCTCAACTTATGTGCGCTGTTACTCAAACTCAAAAAAACGACATATGTCGTATAAAAAGAGGGCATTTGCCGTAAAAAGGACATTTTAAGCTTTAATAGGTCACAAGGACATTTTGCTTCAAAAAAGGACTGTCCTGTTCAAAAAATGACAGGTGGCAACCCTAGTAAACGAAGAACAGGTAAAATTATGTAATTAGATGCGAGACCTATTTTCAACGCTACAAAAGTCCACAAAAGTTCCACAGTAAATCTGAAAAGGGTCAGGGTCCCAACTCCAAGAAAAATTTTATCTAATCTATACGAGTATATTATCTTAAAGGTGTAAGGGCGAAAAAAAAAATTTGGTGGAAACTCGTAGAGAATATCGAAGAATAAGATGCCGAGAATATTGAAATATTATGGTATCTACCATTGAGGAATACCTACAAAAAATTAATTCAGCATGTTTGCGTCCAAAGAATTCTTTTCGTTCACTAAGTAGGACGGGAAAAGTCAAAAAGAGATCATACATTTCGTTCGGTCTGCCAAGTTCCTTTAACTCCTTTAACACTTTTAACTCCAAACGACTCTTTTAGCGTTCGGTTTAGTCCGATTAATGACAGTTTAAATATCACAGCTTAAATGCCATTTAAAAGCAACCTAAAAAACTCAGCTCCTGTCCCGTTCCAGCACCTGGCCAAACCGAACGCGACTAGCCAAGCACCAATATCGTGATACGCTAATTACGTACGGTATTATTTGAGATCTAAGCATGCGCAGATTAAAATATTTAGCGAATCACGCTAATACCGTTAACTCAAAACGTTAATTCCGTAAATTTAGGGAAGGGGTTATGAAAAATTAGAGAAGCCCTATCAGAATCAAGAAAATCTGATATTGGGCTTGTCAGTATATATTTTCAGTATATATGTTTCCTGTTTCTGTTTTGTTTGACCTGTACCTGTTTCCTGTTCATTATTTTTTTACAGTTTTATAGCTTGAGTTGTGTTCGTTGGCGTTGATTGTATTTGTGATTTATTAAAATATTAGGGGCCATTTGCACATTTTATTGTTATTTTTGTTGTTAAAAGTAGGCATGCTGTTCTTCATTATTTACCAAAGTATTATTTATTATAATGGACCCTAGGTAGGCATATCATCATTTGCCTCTGCTAAAATTGCTAATTCCAATTCTCGTTTCATTAAAAAAAAAACAATCACTCCTCTCAAATATCTACATATAATCCACAATTAGGCATTCCAAACAAATGAATTACCAGTGGGCAGGTTTGGTATATCTAAGGGTGGCGACATATGGTGTATTCTATCTACTTTATGTAAAATCATGAATAATGGATTACATTTAAATATTTTATGTCAAACACAATAAAAATAATATTTAAAAAACCCACCTATACATTTCTTCATAAAT